CCCCAAAACCCCAAAACCCCAAAACCCCAAAACCCCAAAACCCCGGAAAAGAGATTCTGAATTGGACAATATGAATAGTCTCAATTAAAGATTCATACGATGAATCTGGGTGATCCAAAAGAGTGTTTGCCCACAAGGCTGCTCTTTCTACAACCACCAATTTAGGTTAGTGAGCTTACTCACCATGACTGTTCTTAATGTGACTCTATATCAAGGGGTCAATTACATCTTTAGATATCATACGGTTTAAACTTATTGGTGAAACACAATAATTTTCGAGAACTCATTCTCATGGTTTAAGTTAATATACTAAATTCTAAAATTTCAAATCACCTTCCGAAGCGCGAATTCAAAATCAGAAATTTTCTACCGGAAAAAGTAGACCAGACTTGTTCGGGATACCTCTTGATCAGATTTTACGAAACAGATTAGGTTTTAAGAGGTCCAAGCAAAATGCCACCAGATATTCCGATGGCTGGTACTCAAAAATTTAAGCTCGATTGGATATTTTAAAAATTAGTAAAGGCCAATCCAGCGATAATACTAATTTAAAAGATTCTCGTTACCTTAAGATTGTATTTTTCGGTGAAGGACTTCGGACAATGAGCGCATTTGTGAATCTTTCTTGATTTCAAATTTCTAAACTTGTGCTGCCTTAAATGCTTCACTAAGTTCCCTCTTTGAGTAAAGGACTTATCGCATTCGTCGCATTTATATGGGGTGTACCCCCTATGCATGCGGATATGATCCTTGAAGTTCCATTTCTTCTCGAAGACCTTGTTGCAGTTGCCAAACTTACAAACAATCCTCTTAAGTTTTCTGTTTGTCTTATTTATTTAACTTATAGACAATTTCAAAAGGATGGTTTTCAAGAAGAGCATCGCTTTCCTTTATCTCCTCAGATTTCTTCAGTTTTCCTGGAGTCTGTACCCCTTCCAAAGATTTGACCCCAGCGGAATGATCTACAGTACCTTTCCCTTGATTTTGTAAGTACATCTCGGCTTGAGCTAGCACCGATGAATCATTGTTCATTCCAAATCCATGTAATGGAAAGGTGAAATTTTTATTAGATTCGTCTCTTAGCTTCCAAAGATGTTGGTAATCCATCAAGGCTTTAGTTATAGCTTCGATATTGAGTCCTGTAAATATCAAACTTTGTAAATTAAGATCACAAAGTCAATACCCAGAAAAGTCTCCATTGACCAGCGACGCATAGTAGTGAATCAATGATTTTGGCTCCTCCATACTAGATTTATCTTTAATGAAATTTCAATTAGTGCTTTACTAAATGGGGTTTTGGGGTTTTGGGGTTTTGGGGTTTTGGGGT